TTGATTTGTAAGTTAATAAAGTAAAAACTGATGAAGATAGCTTAATTATATAAATTAATAATTAGACGATTATCAAATCTATTATTATTTTAAGAAACTTGAAAGATTTCTTTATATTAATATAATTAAAATAATTNGCAATAGTTATGAAAGGAAAATCTGGTACTATTGAGGCATAAACCTAAATAACTACCTGGCAGCCATTGCTACATTTCCTAAACTACTCCATCCTATCTAAATGCTAACTAAATTTAGAAAAATTCTAACTTGGAATATTAAACTGTTGTATTTTATAACACTTCTATTGAAAATATAAAGAGTATGACTAGATCAATTTCAGAATCATTTATTCACTCGATTTTAATAATAAACAAGTCAGTTTTAGAAAATCAGATGGCAACAAGCATTATTGAGTACAGAGGTACTAATTTTAATTACATTTAAAACGTTGCATTAAATAATGGATGTAATTATTTATATATTTAGTAAATTCCAGAAGCTAAACTGATTTACATTGAAGTATGACAGGTGAAGCTTCTTCTTTCTACAGCGATTAAAATGAGATCGTGGATGCCTGAAGGTAGAAAAGTAATTTTCTTTTAATAAATGTAAAATCAACTTCATTAATCTTATTGATATTTTATTCAATAGATTTTTTTAAATATAAATTATTTATCTGAAGATTTATACAGTATAACCTGTCTAAAACGAAACCAGAAATTTGCCTAAACGGAAAGAATTCTACGGAAAAAAAAGCGATTTTCTATGTTAAAAAGAAATCTTCTTAAAACGAAATTAACCGTTTACACAGGTTTTACTGAATATATACATATATGCACACAACGTGACTCAAAAGTCAGTTAACTGTCTTATACGTAGGCTATATGCATTATATATCATAATATTTTTAATGTAGATAAGTATGGCTACATTTTAGTTATTACATTTATAAACTAATACAGTAAAATCTGTCCAAAACGAAACCTGTCAAAACGGGGAAAAATTCTTCGGAACGGTGCGATTCCGTTTTAGACAGGTTTTATTGTAATTTATAGGCATGTAATTAAGCTACATTTTTAAAAGCTATGATGTAATAGATTTTTATTATTTAAGTTAATAAATGTAAGATGAATTTTTCCCGAAGAAATTATCCGACTAATATATTCTAAAGGAAAATGTATTCTTTCTACTGATTGGTTGGAGATAAAACAATGATATGGTGTGATTGTCAGAGATACGGTAACATTATAATTATTTAAATTTTAATTTGATTAATCATATCTCGGTCTTACGAAATGTCCAACCTTCTTTGAGAAAATTATAAAGAAAAGATTTCGTAAAGAAGAATTGTTATCTTAATTTATCTATCGTCTAAACAATGGATTTGTACGAGATTTTTACAGAAATTTACTGTATTTTCGGTGTAATTTTACACTAAAACCTGTGTAAACCGGAATCGCATGGTACAGTACCTGACATATAGTAAAAACCTGTCAAAACGAAATATAATTGTAATTCTTATATTTTTACAAATTAAACCTAGGCTATATAGTAAAACCTGTCCAAAACAAAACCTTAATAAGGCGGAAACCTGCCTAAACGGGAGAAAATTCTTCGAAACGCAACGAGTTTGTGTTAAAAAAAATAACCTGTTCAAAATGGAAACTTGCCAAACCGGAAAAGATATTTGATACCGTGCGAGTCCGGTTTACACAGGTTTCACTGTTTTCAGTTATATTTTACTAAAAGTTCAAGCTTAGAGTTGCAGCAACTGATCTAAAAAAGTATTCTAAAATTATCTTATGAATTCTTTGACAGATTGAAAAATTTTTAAATTGCCTACTGAGGACAAGTGCGTGTTTATATATAGGGTGGCCCACAAGTCAGTTAACAGTGTCTTGTTTTACATGTGAAAATATACTTGCAAGCTATCTGTGAATCTAAACTGAGCTTAAACCTGTTTATCAATATGTATTAATTTACATGGTTTTAAACGTAATCTGTCCAAAGCGGAACCTTAATGAAGCGGAAATTTGTCTAAGCGGAAACAATTCTTCGGATCGGAGCAATTTTTTTTAATGTTAAAAAGTAACCTGTTTAGAGTGAAAACATGCCAAATCGGAAAAAAAATTTCGGTACTGCGCCATTCCGGTTTACACAGGTTTTACTGTATTATTTACGCAATTTAAAGCATTTTCTAACATTTCTAGATATTTTAGAAACAGAGAAGATGAATTTAATTAAATTTAAGTTTTAAATCGTATAAATAAACTATAATTAAAGCTGAATTTAGTGTCGATATGGAATTGTCAGTTTTCAATTTAGAGTTATCCTGTCTTAGACAAATGTATTTTGCAAAATTATTCAATTTCTGCAAAATGGAAATCAATAAATCTAGGAGGGAAATGTTTAATCAATAAAATGAATGCGCTGATGTATCTTGAACACGAATTGTATGTGAGAAAATCTTCTGTAACTACATTTCAATCATAAATCTTTTAAGTCACTTTATCTTATTCTTGTACATATTCATCACGCATAATACATAGATAATTATAAGATAAATTACTTTGTTATTAATGTGACTAAATGATTAACAAAATTTGGAATGCTTAATTTATCTTCTCTGCTAAATTTTGATGCTTAATACATCTTCCCTCCTGGAAAAACTTACAGTAAAACCTGTCGAAAACGGAACTTCAGAGGCGATTTTCTATGATAAAAAAGAACTGTTCAAAGCGGAAACTTGCCAAATCGGAAGAAATGTTAGATACTGTGCGAGTCCGATTTAGACAGGTTTAATGTATTTGTAAAAATGTCGAATTATTTAATATTTTTATAGTAAAATAACCTTATATTTAACCATAGATGATCACATATTAAATATTTAGCCTACTTAAAATTTTTAATTATGATAATAAAATGTCTATAGTGTCATACATAGCGATTAAAGTAAAACCTGTGTAAACCGGGATCGCACGGTACCGAATATAGTTTCTGTTTAGACCGGTTTCCGTTTTGAACAGGTTTACTGTAGGCCTATATAAAATAATTTTTATCAAATTAAAATATAGTTAACTAAATTAGACATTTTATCGTAACTTAATTTGTTTTATGTAATTTATTGTCAATTAAATTAAATAATTTTATTTTCTCTCTTATAATTCTTTCCTATTTTAAATATAGGCTACAAATCTACTCTTCGGTTTCCCTGATATTAATCTTTCTACTATTGAATTTTCTTTCTAATGAAAATTAATGATGATGATAATGATGATAAAAATTGAAAAATGATATTTCAGAACATTATTGATAAATTACCAAATAAAATACTGTACAAATGAATAAAAAAAAATTGTCTATTTTTATTATTATTACAATTTAAAATTTTTGTCTTAGCTCATTTATTACTTTAATTCACTGAAAAATTCAACATTTTTGTTTGCATTTTAATTTTTTTTCTTACTAATTACTTAATATTAATATAAATTAACAATAATTTTAAAAAATTATAAGAATATTAAATTTAATTATTGCTGGAGTGTATCTAATTATCAAATTTTATTTTCCAAATATGGCCTATGAGACTTCTCGAGTTTCTCTTTAGAAATAATTAAGTTTAGCTAATATAATGTAAAATTTCTTTTAAAAAATTGGTCTACTTATTTATGAATAATGTTTTAGATATATTTTTTCATGTGAAACCAATTTCCATTCGCAAAATTTATGATAAAACGGTATAAAACTGAATACTTGTAGCATAAATTATACGAAAAATTCCTTATGATGATGATGATGAAGTGTAAAAGATTAAAAATACACATATTAAAACATTAACTCACTTGTTCAACTTAAAATCTCTCTGTGTAAGAGAAATTTTAAATTCATAAATACGTCTTGAAAATGTCTCTAAATATTTAAAATTAATTATATTTCACGGCCGTTAACACCATTTTCTTTTGAAAAAACCACATTAAAAGTACAGTATATTTAACAGATTAAATTATAAAAACTTTTAAGGTAAAGCATTATGTAATGCATTACTCATCCGTAAAATGTCACATCATCAATAAGTATTAATATTAAAAAAAATTATATTTTTTCTAAATATTAAATTAATAAATGAAAGACATAGTCTATCAGTTGCATCTAATTTTTAAAATAATCCTCCATTCAATTGACATCTAATTTATCAAATGATACAATTTTAAGTACCATCATTAAAAAATTGTGAGGGGGTTTATTTACATACAATTGTTACGCCGTTTACAGATAACATCAATTGTAATTAATGGTTAAAGTAATGTCAATTAGCGTAAGTTGTAAGTATATGAGGTTACATTACCCGAAAATTAATAAGTTAAATTCTTTATTCTTCGATTAATCACGAATAATAAGATTTATTTTTGTGTTAAAGTTATTAAAAAATGAAACCGTTCAACTTTCCTTAAATTAAGTAAGGTAAAAAGATTTTAATTAAAAAGTAAATTGATATTTTACTTAATTTATAGAACGTTATTTACAACAATAATTCTCAAAATATAAGCTTAATTTAACTTAAAAATTCGTTAAAATCACTCATATTTTTGTATTCAGTAACCATGAGTCTGTTATATTTTTTAAATATTTATTTTTATAAATCGATAGAAAAGCCTATTAAAGTCTTATTAAAGTATTATCTTATTGAGAAATAAAAATAAATAAAAGTGTTAAAAAAAGAAACAACCACTCGTACAGATATTTAAAAATATTAAAATATTTTTTATTTTTTCTCTAAATTTTAAAAATACTGTAAATTCAAATTATGTTATATATTTTTATAAACAAATCATTTATTTTAGATATTTTAACTGAAAAAAATATACAATTAATTGTACAAAAATGTTTAATTTTACATATTTCAATTAGTTTTTTATTTGATAATTTCGTGTTTTTTATTTAGCAAAATTTAATTACAATATTTTAATATACTTAATTAAAAGTTTGATTTAGTTTACTTTAATGAATTTTTAATTTAATTCGCAAACAAATTCTGTCTTCAATATTTCTCCTTGTTCATTTATATACTTGTTTCTGTAAAAAATAATTATTATTATTATGTAATACATAATAACACAATAATGAAAGTATTAAAATAATAAAATATTGTTTTAAAAATGACGTAAAAATAATTAATTTGTGCATTATAATTGTTTCATTAATAAAAAAAAATTATGAGCAAACATAATTTTTTCCCCTCAGCTTGGTTTTCTCTTCTACTTCAAGCATCACTCTCTCCTACGAGAAGGGAAGGAAGAAGTAGGAGGAGGAAGGAAAGTAGAAGGAAGAAAAACAGAACAAGAGACCAACAAGAAGGATTAGGAAGAAATGAAGAGAATAAGTGCTAGGATCTACATATTAATTGAAAAAGTTTTAATTTATCGGACTTAGTTTGAGTAAACGGTTGGGAGTAAAAACACTGTTCAGGTATCAAATTAGAACTCTTACCACGTAGACGATGCCGCTAAAGTGATATTTGAGAAAAATGCAACAGTTCAGGTGTGAAAAAGTGGCAAGTGTACAATGTTAAGTTTATGAGACAAACACATTGGGATCTCACTTCCCGTTAACTGAGCTATTTTTTATGTTTTGCAGTTTCATTATTGTAATACTGAGGTCAATAAATGCACATTTTAGTTACTAAGACAGTTGTTTTTATCATCCACTCCCAATCTAACCTTATACTCCAACCCCTTAAAAGCCAGAGTAATGACGGGCATACGCAACTAATAAGCTAAGGAATTAGAGAAAAGTGAGAAAATGTTGAGCTTGAAACAATAAAAAAAGGGATGGAGACTGTTGTCTAAGTTTAACTAGCAAAAAATTGAAACAGTGGGAAGAAACTGATAACAATTGGTTACTGTATTGCTGAGTTTTTAAAGTTCTAGTATAAGAGAAATTAATGACACCTATATTAAAAACGTCTTAAAGATCATATCAATTGAATATTAAATTTTAATACAACAATGAAGTATATATTATAAATTAACGTTTATATATGAATTATATCGTAAGAGTTTATTATATATTCATCTAATAACGAAACAAAGAAAGAATTCAATAGAAATAAGCTAACTAATTCAGATGGGATGGATAGAATGAGTTAAAATGTAACTATATGAACATATTAAATTATCAAAAACAGAATTTGGTAAAGAATTTTTATAAGAAAATATAAATAATCCTCATTAAATTTCTTTATTTAGACTATATCTTATAAGTTGACTAATAATTTTAATAAACTTAACATATTTAGATAACGAATTTAATTTTGTTTCATGCAGATTACACAAATAAAATAACCATATTTTAAGTTTTTATCTGAATTATAAATTATATTGAATCATATTTTGGATCGATGATATTCTATTAATTTTTAGAATAAAAGAATAATGATATTTCCTTGACACTAACCTTATGCTCCTCCGAATCAGTTGAAGTTGTGCGGAATTTTCAACTCGTAATGGAGTACATCTCCAAATTTTGTATGAGATAGTCCATGTACAATTGACTGATGATTGAGAATAATAAGGGATGAACAAAGAACTATCCATTAAAGATCCGTAGTACACAAATCTGGATTCTTAAATTCACGGAAACGTATTTTTTTCTCGTGTGGCAAATATCAAAATTTCTGAAATTATTATAATATAGTTAGCTTATTTTCAATAAAAATTACAATTTTTTTTAAAAATAAAAGCAGCGTATAAGATCTAAGTCAAAGCAGCAAAAGTGCTTAACATGTCGCTAATATGATCCATATATTTCAGAATATTTTTTCTTTGTATAAATTCTATAAGCTTAAACAATTAACCAAAAAATTAATTTAATTAATATAAATTAATAATAATCAGCAGCAAAAGATAAAATTTAAAAAATATTTTTCTTATATGTAATACATAATTATAAGTTCACTTTCTAACTATTTGTATTCATTCGATATTACTTTTAATTTAACTTAAAATTTTATTATATAAATTAATAATAATAATTAATATCTGGACTTAAATAACTAATTTAATTATTTTTTAGATAAGTTATTCGAATATAAATAATTTAATTTAAATAAGTAAACTTTTTCTTGGTTTCTGAAATAAATTTTAAGCACTTTTGTGTGATTTAGAATGTCTTAATTTTAGTAACAAATTTAATAAAATTAAGAAAAAATGTTTAAAAAATAGAAAAAAGACAATACTTTTGTAGTAATTATTTTTCATTAATAGTAAAAAAATTTATATGATAATAAAAATTATACAAAAAATATTTTTTATAAAAAGTTATAATTAATTTAGAATAATTAATAAAACTTTCAAATGTTCTAAGTATTTTGAAATATTAAAAAGTAGGAATATTACAATAATTTTGTCATATTTACCATCAAAAATAATCATTAGTTTTAATTAATTATTACTTCGAATGATAAAAACATCATTTATTATAGAAAGGAAAGTATTCATTTTCCAACCATTTATGTTAATTTTCTAAACCTGATATTAATGAAATATTATCATATACATAGTTGAAACTCTCATCGTTTTTCAAAGCAAACATTTTTTATCTAGAATATTAGTTGTAAAGCTGTCATAATGAGAAGGACAGGATAATGTTTTCCGTCTTGGAACAGATCCCCTTCTTCGATATTCTTTTCGCCTCACGAACCTAGAAGGCATTTACCTAGGGGCATCATCAGTTATTGGTGCAATGCGAATGGCAGCATGATTGCTCTGTTACATCAATTTATTGGTGGCCAGGCCAGATAGCCGTTGACACCATTGGATGACCCGTAATTTTTTCTTATTTATGGCCATGCGGCCAATGTAATGACTAGGACCAATTAGCTTAATTTCCACACATTATCTATTGAATTCGAAGAAAAATTCCCCCAAGCCAGCTAAATAATCTTATCCGAATCGAAATATATACCAGTAATAGTAGAGTCATTATTTTTTAAAAGATTTTTTTGATTCGTTTAAACTCTCGACGATAAATGAAAACTAATGAAAGAGACGTTAGTTAATTTGCAATTTATTTATTTATTTTTTCTTGATTTAAAAGCAGATAAATACTCGATTTTTTTTTACTTTAAGCATTAACACACTTCATTAGTTTAATGAAAGGTTTCGCTAACAGCTTTTAAGCTAAAATTTTCAAGCCTCTGAAGCATCTTTTATCTTTAATTTTTTTACCATTTAATTTACAATTCAAATATAAATAGGGCTTCAATATATTTTGGACTCGAAAATTATGTCTCAAATTTTTAAAATACAGTAAATTCCTTTTGTTTCCGAGTTCAGAAAATAGGGACAAAACCTATTAATTAACTAAATAAAAATGCAATTAATCCAATTAAACAGACTTTACACGATTATTTTTACAACTGTTAATCGAAAAATTTGAAACTTTTATTTCCAATATCTGTCAAATTTGAGAAGCTTGCACTTTTTCAGCTCTCTTAATTCAAGCTTTAAATTGGAAAATCTCATTTTCCTCCCCTCTCCGAAAATGAATTTGGCCATATGTCTTTTCTCTCATGAATCCAAACAGTTGAATTATTCGTTTTCCCGTATTTATCGATCGTCTTCAAATGTATATTCACGCCCACTCTCTCGCTTTCCGTCCAATAAAAATGATAAAGCTGTTGAAAATACCACGCCTACATAAGAAATGGCATTTAGCATGATTCAAAAAAATGTCAAAAATTAAAAATAAAATAAAATTATAAACATTTTCTAACTGATTTTCCTTTTTCTATTACAATTTTTATCGTAAATAACGTGAAAAATATCAAAAATATTAATATTTTTTCATTGCAATTAATTAATAAATAATTAAATATATTCTAAATTATTTAAACGATAGTTTTTAATTATTATTATAATTTATCATAATACACACAGTACTGTACATATTTATTGCATTAGTAACTTAGAAAATATTAAATTTTTATTATTAAGGGGGATATTATTGTAAAAATTTATATATTATAGTAAGCTTGTGTTTGTTTGAATAAATTTCATATAATTTAGATTAAGTTGAGCATAAATGTACAATAAATTTAGGAAGAAAATATACTAAAAATAATAACGCATTTAACTACATCTACGAAAGTTGAGCTATAAATTCAAGTAAAGAAAAAGTATTTCTAAATCACAAAGATAAAATTTATTGCAAATCCATTAAACACCTTCTAATTCGTAAAAAGAAAGATTAGCTACTTCGAGCCCCCAGGGGGAATACAAAGAGAAAATAATGATAAACGTGAAGATGAACGGAAAAATCTTGTCAAAAATGCCTTAAAATTCTCTTTACACGCAATTATTTCTTATTTTAAAATATATAAGTAATTCTTGAATATGTTTAGAATAAATTTTAAAAGAAAGAAACGAGTTTATTATTTTTATTTGAATTCTAAAAATTCATTTAAAGGCATCATAAACATGCAAATTAATATAAAGCAATATCGAGTGCATAACTTGTAAAGCTCTTGAAATGTAGTCTAATCATTAATCCTAACGACAGGACAGAAAACCCATAAAAACTACTACATGAGTAGAGCTATCAAATCAACTAGATCTTAAAATTCGTTTATAGTTGCAACATTTTAGATCCGAACTGTTGAGATTGCACTAACAACGATTGCAAAGAATTATTAAAGGACCAACACTATCACATAAACAAGATCTGGTACTGTGTTAAAACTACCCGTAAATCGTTGTCCTTTGACATTTATAAGAGGGGAAGGAAAGTGAAAGGACTACTTCTCCATACAAATATCCATCGAAGCGATTTTAATGAGAAAAGACAGCCTTAAAGATGAGGCCCTTGAGATTTGAAAATCTAACGATCGGCTGAATATAAATTGAATGGATAGATACATTATTATATTTAGTTAATTCTCTCGATATTTAAATACTAAAATGTATAAACATTATAAACTTTTAATTATTTAAAAATTAGTTAAGAGAAATCGCATTTTAAGTATGAAATTGTAATGAATCGCCTTCATCCAATCTAACTCTGCGAAGCTTGATTATAATTTATTACCTTCATCAAGTAAATTAAAATTAGAATTAATTGATTAAAAAGTAATTCTAATTCTTATCTTTGTTTATTTAGTAACAAATTAAGATCATTTATCCTAATTTAATACTTAATTTTATCGTTTAGATTTAATTTTCCACTAAATTCCATTGATAAAGTAGTAAGATATTTTCTTTGAATTATATTATTTTTTATTATAATAAATCGATATTTGACAATTCAAAGAAGAAAAAAAAATTATCTAAATTTTATCTCCTCGCACTTTGGATTAAATTGATTGGGTTTTAATTATGCTTTCCCACTCGCTGATGCTATCCAGTTGTTATTAAATCTATTAAATTTATAGTATGAACAAATCGTGAATGCTAAAATATGATTTATCTATTCGAAATATGAGATATATCGTATTAAAAGATGTCCAAGTGCATCATTGATTTGTAAGTTAATAAAGTAAAAACTGATGAAGATAGCTTAATTATATAAATTAATAATTAGACGATTATCAAATCTATTATTATTTTAAGAAACTTGAAAGATTTCTTTATATTAATATAATTAAAATAATTCTTATGATCTTTACAATACAATTAACAAGAATTAGAATGGAATGCATTAACGCTTTATTTAAATTAATTAATGTTTAATATATGATAACATTGATTAATTAATTAAAATTTTACATAAATTTTTGGAAAATTTAATAAAATTGTTGAATGAAAACTTCGTTTTAAATTTAGATTCGGTAATTTTCAAAAAGGATGAATTTTTCACCGCGAGTTTATAATTTAAATATGTAAATATATATGTTTTTTTCCTAAACAAATAAAGATTTTCTTTTTTATCACAGCATACTATAGCCTATATATAATCTGTACAATTGCTTATATGCAACTACATATACAGGATGTAACTTGCCAATATTTTAGGAATAGATTCTAGGATCAAAAGTAAATTTAATATCCTTCCTAAACGTTTTTCAAATTCCGCTTCGTTTTCGAGATCTGGTCTGCCAAAAACAGTACTTGGCAATGAATTTGAAAAGTACTAACACTAGAGTTGTCAATTTTTGAAATTTTTTATATTTCTATCAACGGAATGAGGTAATTAAATGTTGCCCAATAGATAATAAATATAAACAAAACCTGAAATAGTATAATACTTTTGCTTCTTATACGAACAATCCATGGAAATTAAACTTGTTTTAATACGAGTATGGACTCGTATAAATTCAATTTCCATGTATTCGGTATATTCAAAAATATTCAACAATTAAAATAAAGCCTCAATTTGTGCATATTAAGAAACACAGAAATGAAACACAGCAATAATCTTTTGGCGGGAGGTTTGAAATTGGTTTTTCTATATGCTTTTTTGGTAGGTCAGAACTCGAAAACACAGCATAATTTTTTAAAAAATTATAATTTTTAAAGCTTNTCCAAATTTTGTATGAGATAGTCCATGTACAATTGACTGATGATTGAGAATAATAAGGGAAGAACAAAGAACTATCCATTAAAGATCCGTAGTACACAAATCTGGATTCTTAAATTCACGGAAACGTATTTTTTTCTCGTGTGGCAAAGTCTATCAGTT